ACATGACTTTTTTTCTACGTTTGCTTTTTTGGATGATGCTGTTGTGGCTTCCGATTGGAATCATTTCTTTGAACGTCTGCTGGTTTAATTTTGAATTAGGTCTGGAAAGTTTCAAAGTTGTTGTATTGTTGTTGAATCAGATTCTGAAACAGCGTTTTATGTTTTGGAAAACTTTGTATTTTTTTTTGTTTTTGTTTCAAGGTTTGTTTATTGCCTTCGTTTTTGTATGACTTTTGATATAATATCTCTCATTTTTGTTTGTGTGCTGTAATTAAAAGATCATAATTTTCTTCTTTGATTGAACAATTATTAGTCAACTCCACGACATAGGTATTAGAATGATTGCGGCGAAATACTGGTGTTAGGTTTTCTTTCCTAGACTGTTAGTTCTTACATTTTTTCCGAGTTTATTTTAATCCTCGGGGTAGATCCTCTTGAATAATCGGGGAGAGGGCGTATCTCTTCAAAAGAATGAATTTGTACTGCTCACGAGTGTTGAAATTTAAATTTAATTAAAACCTAGTCTAACTTAGATGAGGTTTTGATTTGAGATCATGTGTTGGAGAATAGTACATCAATTCACAAGGTTCCTGTCTATTTGGAACACAAGAAGGTTGTTAGATACTGTTTTAGTTCTTACTATGTTTAAGGTTTGCTTTAACCTCCGGTCAATTAAAATGGAGGGCTCAACTGAAAGATGAGTAAGCGAGGTTAAAAGGTTGAATAAGTTAAGACAATGTAAAAGTCAAAATTTAAATGAGGTTAGTTGTTGAACTATTTATGCTGCATTTTTTAGATGATGAAGAAAAAAACAGAAAAAAATCAATGAGAGGCAATTAACATTTTACGTTTTTCAAAACAAACTAATCCAAACAATTTAACTAACTAAATTTTTTTAAATTTCGTTTCTTCAATAAATATAGAAGTTAAAAAGTTTTATACAAAACTACTGCAGATTTGAAAGTTTTGGAGTTTACGGCTGGTTTATAGCCGAATGTGTTGTTATATACTTAATAATTGAAAATCGTAGTGAGGTATATAGCTTTGGAATGATTGTTACTCTTCTTTTTATTGTAAATCATATTAATGAGTGAAATTTTACTGCTCAAATATTTTTGTAGAGAACAAATCGTTGGAGTGAGTTTTTTCGTTTCAAGTCTCGGAGGCTCGTTCTGTTATTCTCATTGCGATCTGATGTCAGCCTTATTGTTCGTTCAAATTGATTAGACTTATTGAGATGTGGAAAAAAGCTAATTAAATTTTCTATTCGGTTTATTATTTTGTGTGGCGTTTCTGTTCCTATTTGTCTATTCGGTTGTTGCTTTTGCTGATATAGTTTTTAAGACATCTGTTCGAAACACTTCTGGTCGCATCAGATGATTTTAGGTCCGAGTGGTTTTCTCATAGAGTAATTTCGGATGAGGTATACCGTCTGTTCTTCACGCTATCCTATTTTTAACCGGATAGGTTCGTGCAAATTTTAGTCTTTTACCAATCCTAATTATACTCTAATAACTCTTAGTCTCAATAGATCTAGTGAATAATGGTATTGTCCCGGGGCTTAGAATCACGAAGTGAACCCACAAAAAAAACCGTTTGCTACATTGAATTTTTTCTACTCTGGCTGAAACTATATTTAGTTTCAGCCTCACAAACTATTGTAAGTATTAGTCATATATTATGATTGATTAGTTCTAAGTATTTTACAGAGATAACTATCAAGAATATAATAAATTATAATAAATATCTGTTTTGAACTGGTTCCAATCGAGCAAAAAAGTGTGTGCGAGTGGTTGTCTGGCGATCAAAAGAAACTGATTGAAATCTTTTCAGTCAATACTCGTGCAGTCCAAAATCAACGAGTACTTTCTGCTGTTACATTTTTCAATGAAATTTTGGCGCGGAAAATCGAAATTTTCAATATCCATGCGATGAATTCCTTACAAGATTGTTAATCTGCATGGCTCCAATTGCTTCCTTTGAGCCCGTTGGTATGTGTTCCTCTTATAGTATTTGCCTTAATTTTGTAGATTTTTTTTCAAATCTGAATTTTCAACAAGTTTTGTTGAGTTAAGCCAAATCAAAGTGAGTGCTTCTTTTTAACCGGGTCTGGAATTGAAAAGCGATTCTATTTCAAATATAATTAAGTTGTAAAAAACCAGTGTCACTTTTTGAAACCTATGACTTCAAAGCTCTTCTCTCATGCTATCACGATTATTTTCTCCCAGAATTTAATATGAGGCTCAATTTTTGGGCTGATTTTCCTTCCGATTTCAAAAAGAACTTGTTGTTTCGACTTTCGAAGAAAATGGAATGTTTATGCTAGGTGTGGCTTTTTGTAATTCAGTCAATTTTCGCCGATCGAAAAAAAAGCTTTCAACAAAATTTTTAAAGCCCCATTGAAGATATTGACTTCCTGAACTCAAAATGAAGAAGATTGTACAAAACGACTCGGAGGTAAACTATCTTCTTCATTTTGAGTTCAGGATGTCAATATCTTCAATGGGGCTTTAAAAATTTTGTTGAAAGCTTTTATTTCGATCGGCGAAAATTGACTTAATTGTCTGGGGGTTTGAAATTTGCCAAATTGGCCATGTTATTGACTAAATTATGCGCCTTTGGAAGAGTTCATTCATAATGCTGAGAGCGTAATGCAAATTATTTATGCGTGGTGAACTATCCCGCACAACAAAATCATTCTAAATTGAATTGAGGCTAACTAATCGGTCGTATCAACTTCGTGCGACTCAAAAATTCACACTTTGTTGGGATGTTAGAGGCGAGGAAGTGCAACCGTTTTCTCAGAACTATTTTCTCTCTGGCTGAAACTGCAACTAGTTTCAGTTCTACGAATTATCATAAGTTTAGTAATGGACCATGTTTAGTTAGTTCTAAAAATCTTACTGTGATTATTCTCAAGAAATACAGTTGAATATGACAAACTTGTTGTAAACTGATTACATCCATCCGGGGATTAGAATGTTTTTTTTCGGTCCAAGTTTTTTTTGTGATGGATGAAGTGTGAATCTTTGTGGAGTTTCCTTGAAAGAAGTAGCAGTTGCTCGTGTCGATGGAATAACTGTTGTTGAGAGATATAGAGATTGAAAGGATTTGTAGAGAGTGAAAAGATCGTATCGAAGAGGTTGCAGATTCGTTATAATGATGCGTCGATTTCATAAGATAGAGCAAGAATACGTGAATTCTCGGCTCTTCGTTCCCATTTATTAAATAGCGAGAAGAAGTTTCTCTTTTTTGAGTGAAAAGCCAAGTGACTAGGATCCGTATTTTGACTCCAATACAAATTGGACCATGTTATTATTCAATGTATATTGGCTCTGTTCTTTATATCCTGTCAGTGTTGCGGCTGCCGCGATCAAAACCAATAAACTTGCCATTTCAGAGTCGGAAAGTCGTTGATTTTCATCTCCCTCTCGCTGCCCATTTCTTTTGCTTTAAGAAATCTTTCATATTTATCTGCAACTGCAACTTTTGGTAAATTCATTTTTAGCTTTGATCTTGTTATTTTGTTCTCAAAAGCGTTCTAATTAGTTCGGTAATTTTCAGGAGTTGCTCTCCACTGAGCTACTCCTAAGATAAAATTGTGAATCGGGTTTATGGTGAGTAAATCTGCTTCGAGCGACGTCTGGTAGGTGAGGCCAGTGGAGAATACTCTTCAGTGTCTCTTTGAGTAGAGTATTTATTTATTTGTGTGTAACTTTTTTTTTCTCTTGTAGCAGGTATTTTTCTTTTGTTTTGTCGTTTGTGTCCCTTTTCTCAAAAAGGAATTATTTTTGGTTTGTGCTATCTTTGAATTTATTAGGTTTTCAAAAATTGAAACTGTTTTAATAAATTGAAATTGTTTTAAAAAAAATTCAGGCCTCATTGGCGGCACCATATGTGTATAGCTCCGGGGTGGCCTTCTCATAGAGTAATTTTGGATAGGTTACACCGCATGTTCAACAGGCTATCTTATTTTCAGCCTGACAGATTCGTGCAACTTCTTAGTCTTATAGCAATCCTAATCTTACTCTTATAATTCCCAGTCTCAATAGACCCAGTATATATACCGTATTCTTGCGATGTTAGAGGAGAGAAAGAGCATCTGTTTTCTCCGTTAAAATATTATCTCGTCGGCTGAAACTATGAATAGTTTGAGCTACAGACGTTATCATAATTTTTAGTATAGATCATATGCTCGTAAAGATTGATTTAATCAATTTATCGGTACTGCCTTTTTTCATAGTATGCGTAGCTTCTTGTTTTTAGGGAAAACTAATTGTGTAAGGTTTGATATTCGCGTTCATTTTGATTGACTAATTGTATTTTATTCTTGTTGTTACAATCCTTTTTGTTTTGAAAGTCTTAATTTTTCTGTTTGACAAAAGTATCTTGATCTGATGGACCTATTCAGACATTTACTGCTATAATGACTTTCCAAAATAGATTTTGATAGTTTCTTAGGTTTCTCTAGATTGTTAACCAATGTGGTTATTGCTTCTCCCGAATGCCGTCGTTTTGCGCTTTTTTGATGATAAGACTGTTTGCACGTTTCGCAGCTAAATTTCGGATACCTTTTCGTCCTAAGAGCACTGGAAAAAAAGAATTCCCATCAAAAAAATGGTAGAAGTTTGGAAATTTTGATGACATTGAAAATCAAATCCCTCGAAAAGTGATTTCTAAGTCGCTGAACCAGCCATAGGTTACTCCAAACCCGCTGATGGTAAGTGAGGTCGCAGTAGCGTCTTTCAGGGTCAAAGAGTCGAGGACACCAGCTCTTTCTAGAGACAAGTTGGAAAGACTCCCATTCACTAAATTATTTTAAAGGCAATGACTTTATTCAACAGGAGCATTTGAGGAAAAAAAGTCCAAAAGTTTTGCAAGCAAGAAAGTTATCATATTCTAATGAATCCTAGAATAGTTTCAATTGGGGTCAATATGACTAATCTTTTTTTTCAAATTCTTCAGATTAGAGAGTTCATATATATACTCATTAAACTCACCAGCAGTTTTGAAAACAGTTTCCACGCTTCTGGTTGAGTTTTCTCTATAGCTTTCGTAATAGTTGCCACATTTGGCATAGTAGGACACATGGTAGTCACATAATGGTTTCAGGTAATCAAATTTCACGGTGTGAGGATCGTAGTAATAGTCGTGGGTTTCGAAGTGGAAGTGGGTCGAACTGTCGGCCTCACATGCTCCTGGTTAGGGAAGGAGAGGTTTAGTTGGCAATGTCATCTCACATTCGCATCGTGAAAAAAGATTTTTAAAAAGTGATTCAAGTTTTTTAAAAAAAAGATTGATTAAAACAATATTTGTTCCAAAAATAAACTCTTTTCGATTTTTATATCCGCCAGTACAAGTATTATACACAAAACTGTGTACCTTAGTTGTCTCTGATTTGTCTCTTTTCATTAGGTTTGATGATATTCACAGAAACACAATTGCACAGACAGACCTACTTGGAAAGAATACGCAATGTTTCTTAAGTGCCAACAAAAAGTAACATGATAAAGATCGGATGAGTACCAATTATGGCTAAAAAAACTGTTACTGATAAATTTTAACGGCATTACGAGGCCAAACTGTGCACTGGATAGGCGCACAATTTTGTATGTTCCTGGATTCCACAAGCTAATCTTTGAACATGCTCCAAAATGTAAGTGGATTCCATTTTCAAAACTTCCGTGGATTCCGCGTGCAAAAAACTGTAAAAAAATTTTGTCGGCACACTGGTTGTGTCGCGGATTCCGCAACAAGCAAATACAGCTAGTTGTTCTGGATTCCGCAACTGTTAGTGGATTCCGCAAAATGTAAGTGGAATTCGCTATTGTAACTGGAAATTGAAACTGTAAGTTGATTCCGAATTTATAAGTAAACTTGCATATGAACAATTAAAAGCTAGAGCTGGAATTCTTATCTTTAGCAATGAAATTAAAAGCAAGGACTCAACCATTGTAAGTGGAAACCACGAGCAAATCCTAAAACATTGGTTAGCTAAATTGATGGATTTCATCTTTTAGTTTTTGGGATACATATCACAGCCAACAATCTTTGGGATCACAGTTTTGGAAAAACAACAACAAATAAGTTCACTATTTGGAATCATTGTGTTGAGAGTGATTAGTAACACAACACACAGAATATCTCCGATTTATGTCACTATTTTGGATTACATCGATTCCAAATAATGGTCAGTTGGGGGGTTTGGTGGAATCCCAATTATTGAAATAATATGGAATAAATATGGAATAATTTCATTAATTGGAGTCATGGGGTTGAGAGTGTATAGAAACCCACCGCAGGACAAATCGCCGATTTTTTTGTCAGTTTTTGCGATATCATCGATCACAAAACTGGTCATTATTGGGATTGATATGACCCCAAAAACTGGAATAATATGGAATAAACATGAAATAAATTCCTTTTTAGAGTCATTGGGTTGGGAGTGTTTAGAGACATATTGCACAGCATACCGCCAAATTAGGTCCGTATTTGGGATGTTATTGATCCCAAATACTGGTCAGTGTTTGGCATTCATCAACCCCAAATACTGAAGCTGGGTGTTTGACAGAAATTGAACATTAGGCATTTCAACAGGTAGCTGATGAACATAGTAAGGTAGTAATTGAGATTGAACTTGGTAGTGATCACCTAGTTATTAAAAAAGATAATTTTAAACGCTACTACATATATACATACATGTAAACGGAATCCGCAAACAAAATGCGGATTCCACTAACAATTTGCGGATTCCAGTTACAATTTGCGGATTCCGCTTAAAGAAGCTGATTTCGCAAAAGCTCACTTTAACTACACACATGTGTTATTATTTAATTGTGGGTTCCACAAACTGTTCTGGATTCGCAAATTTGCCTTTTTTGCAACGCTTTTAGGCATTTGTTTGTGGAATCCACAACAGAAAAAAAAAGATCAAAGAAAAATGGCAATGTTGCTGATTCGGCGACAAATTTGATTTTGGCCTGTTGCGGAATCAGCTTACCACGCACAGAATGAACATTTTGGCCTCGTAATGGGTTTATTTTTACTTTAGATTTTTAGATTAGTTCATTAAACCAGATCAGTGAATTGAACTACGTAATAATAACATCAACTGTGAATATAAAGATATGTATAATAAGTTTTTCCAGAGCTAGAACAACAATATTAAACTTATACGGCTCATGCAATAGTTATGTTTTTTTCCTTTTATGGTTCAATTTATCTTTTTGATGAAAAGCTATTGTCGTTAAGTACAAAACTTTTTTCTCAAGTAATGCGATTATGTACTTTTTAAATGCTTTTTTCGGTTTACTGATCTGTTCCGCATGTTTTCGATTTACTGATAAATTGATTTACTGACCTACAACCTCTTAGGCGAAAAACGTTTCATATTTAAAAGCTTAACTGTCAAACTTGCCAAAAATTGAGAAAAGTTTCATTTCTCCTTCGATGCTGTCGATTGCTATACTTTGAACCAAAAAAACTGGTTAGTAATGCGCAATGGCCCTTAAAAAATTATACCTTGATCAGCTGGAAAAAAAACGTGATACGTGATTTCCAGTGTTAGGCCAGTGAATTGATGTCTCAGTAAATCGAACCCGGATGGCCCAGATCAATGAACTGTAATTGCATTATTGAGTTATGCCACAGTCAACCAATGGAGGTTATCTCGCAAAATCTGACGAGAAATTTGCAAAACGATGCATCTCTTCAAAAGATCTTGCAAAATTAATTTTTTCAGAGATAATTTTTTTCTCCGAGCAAGATCTTTATAGGAAAGATTTTTGGGGGAAAACACCTTTACACGCGAAAACATCTATAGTGTTTGCGTAGGAAGGAAGGAAGCAAACCAAGTAACAATTAGTGACAAATGATGTACTTGGAAAAATCAATAAAAGAAAAAAGAAAGCTTTAGTCGCTTAGAATAGGTGAAACATATTTGTTTATAGTACCTTTGTGAACTGAAAATACAAAAGATTTCTAGCAAACTGACTCTTTTGATTAAAAAAAAACGAAAAAAAAATGTTAGCGAAAAGTTTAACTGAGAATGAATAAATTATAAGCATAAACTCTAACTATTCACCTTACGAATGCTGAAAAATCACCTCACTTATAAAAACTTTTAAATTTTGGTCAATCCAACTTTTTTCTCCTATTCAAAACTTAGATTATATTGTTACCAAGGTCAAAATGGATCTCCATGGGTTTTTTGGGGGGTCAAAACAAGTTTTGTGAAATTTTATCAGATGAGTTATCTGGCAAGACTTGCCAGATTCTTGCAAGAATCTTGGAAAAAACCATCAATATTTAAGGATTCTGGCAAATTAACTTCGCTCGTGCAAGACCTTGCAGTATCACTTCAAGCTTGAAAGATATTAATAATTTTAGTTCCTGCGAATCGCAGAGGAGCTATCAGTAGGCCTTAACAGTCCTGTCGAGAATAGTCCATTTGTATTATCTCCCCATATTCCTGACAGTATTATTTTGCTGATCGAAGCTCATTTTTTGCGACTCAAGGCCGTTTTTGTGCGTCTAGAACTTTCACGTGGTACCACTATTGCACCCAAATTTGGTCATGTTATGGTAGACCTGAAGCTAGAGGTAAAGTGAGAGCTCGTCCCCACACAATATTGAGTTATAACCAATGTGGTTAACTCATAGAGTAATTTCGGATAGGGTACACCGTCTGCTCGTCACGCTATCTTATTTTCGGCCGGATAGATTCGTGCAACTTCTTAGTCTAATACCGATCCTAATATTACTCTTATATCTACTAGTCTCAGGGTGTTTAACTAGTCTCTGCTAGGCTCAATAGATCTAGAGTATACTGGCTTATTGCAACTGCTGAAGTTCTCTTGGAGAGGTAACTAATTTCTAAGTTAAATTGAAATCTCTCTGGTGCTGAAATTACAAGTAATTTCAGCACTTACAAATAAGTGGGTTGTTAGTTTTAATTGATTGGTTAGTTTTAAATTTTTACGGTGGTAAATTATCTAATTTATGCAATAATAAAATATAGTTTAGATCAGGTTCCACACATCCGGGGTTTACAGAGTTTTTTAGAACTATCTTTTTTCTCTGCAATTTGAAGGATGGATGATGAACGTTGGTATTTGGCGAACATCATTTTCTTATCCGGTTCCTCTTGAAGAAGAACGTTCCAGGACGCTGGAATTAGGGATAGGAAATTATTACTTCGTCATTCGACAACGACTGTGATCCCCAATGAAATCAATCCGATTTCAAAATGGTTTGACATGTCAGGTTTTTCTGTATTAGTAGAGAACTGTTTTGTGTGCAGCCTCGTCTGGGAATGGCGTGAAGATCGTGTGTGGAAGGGATGCCTTGTAACTCGGATCTGTACGTATACTTGAACATCGAGGTGGTCATTGGTCTAGTTCAATGAAGTCCTTTTCTGCGAAGTGAAGTCGTACTCTAAATCCTTTGAGTCATGATTGTGGACGGCATGTCGGTTGTGTTTAGCCATCTTTTGTTCGAGTGTGATGGGATCATCTAGTCTTTGGATGTTCGTCATTGTTGTTGTGTATGATCTATATACTGCAAAGTATGATTTACATTTTATAAAATTATGTTAATTCGGTTTTTAATCATGAATTTAGTTAGTAGTTTTCACAAAAGCGTTTCGTTTTGATTCGGTTATTTTGAAGAGTTACTCACTCTTGAGTACCTCTTATTAAAAATAGGAGTGTGGTCCCAAAGCGTGGATGTAGCGCGGTAGGTTAGGCCGGCTATAGAGCATGCTCAGGACGTCCTCTCTGGTGGGTTAGGCCAGGAGTGGGAGTATGATTGCATGCTGTTTCTTTGAGAGGTCCTGTTATCTGATAACGTTTTATGTTGGATTTATGTTGGTCTTTCTTATGTTACTTTGGTTGTTTCCTTTTTTCAAAAATCAAATTGTTTTTGGTATGGGTTTGTCTTGCGACTTTTTTATTATTTCTTTCTTAGGTTTATAATAATCCTCAAAAGAATAAATTATACAGTTTTAAAATGGGTTAATCCGGTTTGGGTACCGTTGGTTTTTTTTCTTAGTTATGCTGTTATTTTATGATTTGTGGTGTTTAGTAAGCTGCGTTGGTTAGTTTGGTTTAGTGTATAATTCCTTTCTAACCGGGTTAAAGGAAAGTTTGAAACTTGTTATCGTGTTTTAGAGTTGTTGATAGTGAAAGCTTGAAACCTA